GCCTATCCTGCCTGCCTGGGCCATAACACAAAGATGTGTGCCTGGCACCCCGTTCCAAATCCTAGTACAGTTTGGTGGCAACTCCGTGCTCGAACCGGGTAGAGAAGCAATTCCTCCTGACCCTCCGGGCAGACAAAATTTGACAGCCGGGGGATGACGATCGGGTGAGGATAGTGTCCTGGGATTTGGTTCTAGGCGAGAAACCCGATTCGTGTCTTTAGCACAACTTGATTGTCCATAACGGCGGTACATCATCCGAGGAGGACAATGCCCCCAGCTCTGGCCGACCCCTACCTGAAGCGAGGGTCAGTAGAAAGACTATTTTCCACGTCAAAAATTTGGAAAGAAGTAAATAGTCTCCTAATAGTAGGACAATCGTCTTGTTCCCGTACGTTTGAATGGTGGGGGACAAGGCCGACCTGTAGCCAACGATCGCTGCGTAGGACAAACCCACTTCGTCAAACAGGTGGACGAAGGAGCCTGTTACATTGCCAATAGAGGGATGGTATCAATCAATCTCCCTTCCGCTACACTAACCAGTGTATGCTCGCAGCCTAGAAATGTAGGCTGCATTGGTGGAATCCCAGTTCACCCTGACCAGGACGTTGGCAGCCCGCTCAGATAAAGCTTTCGTATGTGCAGGTCTAATGAGAGCCTCTATGCGTGTAAGTGATACCCGCTGGGCTCGTTTGGTAGTGCGCCGTCTGGTTGGGACTGCAGGTCCGGTAAGTCCGGAAGCACTGCTGGTGTTTCGACTATTGTTTCCGACAGAAGTGGAAACTAGGCCCTGATGGCCAATTGGGTGCGACCAATGATAATATGCAGGTGTGCACCTGTCAAAGTTTTCTCCGGTGCCCAGTGAACTAGCGGGAAGGGAGGAAAGGCATACACAACAAAGTGGGTCCGCGGGTAGCAAAGCAACCCTGGCCAAGGCTCCTGGAGTCAGGAGTGTTACGTACATCGGGAGCTTGGTGTTCCGGGGTGCGGCAAACCGGTCTAACCTTTGACCGTCCACAGCCGAAACGGCCTGGAGGCTACCCACTGGGGTATCAGCCACTCCATGTTCTGGAGACTGAGTCGCCCTGAAAGGGCGTCGCCAGACTGTTCCTCACCCCTGGAAGGTGGTGTGCAGTTAGCTCCACATTGTATTCCAGGCACCAAAGGAGGATTTTGCTCTGCTAGGACTGACAACGATGGGGAATGCGTCCCCCCCTCCTTCTTGAAGTAGACCACCGCTGCGTTGTCTGTGCGGAGCAGGACTCTGGTCTGGAAGTACAGGTTGAAAGGATGGTAGTGCTAAGTACGCTGCTCTCAGTTCGAGACGATTGATATGGTAGTCCCGAAAGTAATGCGGGAGCCATATCCTTGGGCTTGTTCGTCCAATAGATGCACTCCCCAACCTTGGAGGGAGGAATCTGTTACCAGAGTCGTACCTGCGGCGAGCGGGTCCAAGGGGGTCCCCCTCTGCCAGAGGTTGGCCAGTGACGACCACCAGGGCAGGGCTTCCTTCACTTGGTCCGAGATCTGAGAGCTCGGTGTTATAACAAGCGTTATACCGGGCGGCTGCGTAGTGCGGCCTGGAGAACGACCCTTTGAACCAAGGTCATCATTCCGATGATCCGCATTAGTTCACGGAGGGACACTGAGGGAACGCTGACTAAGCATTCAGCGAGGCTGCTAAGCACTAAGCAACAAGCTTGAAATAGCTAAGCCAAGCTTACCTTTGTGTCAAAACTCCATGCCCAGGGACACCAACTGCGCGTTGGGTCGAGGTGGGACTTGTCGATTTACTAACGAGCCTAACTGGTGAAGTAAATCCTGTGTTAGCCTGACGCGTTTGGCTATTAATCCCTTGCCCGGGTTGTTGGTAACCAGTAGTCCGGGTACGGATTGAGGTGTACTGACATCTGGTGAAGCAGCAGCACTATCTGTTTCATCACTCTGGTTAACACGTAGGGCGCTGTGCCTAACCCATATAGGGGGGGGCACCTGAAATTTGAATACTTGGCCCAGCTGGGCGATTCAAAGGAGATGGCAACTCGCTGGGTGTATCGGTATGTGCAGGTAGGTCCCGCTTAAGTCTAATGGGGCTAGCCAGTCAAAACGATGGATGGAGAGAAGAACCCTGAATGGTGTCTCCATGTGCAACCGATCGAGGAGCACGTACTGATTCAGTCTCCTAGGTCCAGAACTGAACGCCTGCCACTTGCAGATTTGGTACTACAAACACATTTGGGTAGAAGCCTGGCTTTAGTTCCGACTGATGTACCCTGTGTATGGCATCTTTTCCCAGCAAACTGCTACTTCCTGTCTGATTGCTTTCGCCTTGCGGGAGTCCCTTGGCAGTGCTCAACAGGGGAGACACTGACGGGGGGAAATGGAGATTTCAGCGGTATCCCGTAACAGGATGTCACTACCTGGAAAGGTCCAGGGATCGGTCACCCGCTGTCTCCAAACTGGACTACACTTGCGCAAACTGTACGACAGGTATATGCGGCCATGGGTTCGGCAGTTGTGAGGGGGATGCTCTCTTCTCCCACGAGGCGAGTTCCCCAAGGCCTGAAGTAGTAACTAAGTTGTGACCTGGCCACTCGCCGAACACATGCCTGTCCCCCCGGTTGCAGAGGTGAGCGTCAAACACGCTTCCCCCGCTGCCGGGGTAGACGTCTGCCCAGGGAGGGTGAGGAGCCACCACCTCGCTCTTTCCTCCCTGGGGGCGCGCCACTACTCTTCCCTCCCATGGAAGGGTATGAGCGCTTGCCTCCTGGCTGACTCTGGCTAGCGGACGACTCCCTAGGGTGTTTTGTTTTCTGTGCTTGGGGTGACATTCGCTTGCCCTTGGCAGGGCCAACGATCTGAACCCTCTGGTTCATTGCACTCCGAAGCTCCGAGACTGTACCCACCATTCCCTGAACAAAGAGGGCGGAAGATTCCAGTCTGCGTCACTGAGGTGGGGACGTACCTCCCCCTGACTCAGGTTGTCGGTGAAAACACACGTGTCTAAGGCCGCGTCTCATAGCACAGTAGTGGCCCTGGCCAAGAGAGCCATGTGACACTAGGGGGTGTTGCACGTAGATGTGCGGTGGTCCACCAGAAAAGTGTCGCCTGGTCTAGCAGGCTAGTGCGTTCTGTCTCCGAGGTCTCCAGAGTCCTGGGCGCGCACAATAATGCGCTCAAACAACTCTGCCCTCAGGGCTGGATGGGTCGTCTTCCGATTGGCAAGAGCGTCCATGGAACGCGGCTGTCCCCTTTTGCCCGGTTTGCCCAACGGAAATTCGTGTTACCAGGGTCTGGGGAAGGAGCCTTGGAATCTGGTTGGGGGCGTTTTGGTCTCATCCCACGCTATGGGGGTCTGATCCTGAAACCACACCGACCGGGTAGCGTTTGGTCCAGCGGGAAGTGTTGCCTAATGTCTTCCCCACCCGGGGGCCTTAAGCGTTATGTCCTTCGCGACTGACCAACGGCCGCCCATCAACACTGTTTGCGTGCTCTGCACCCCACTCCGCACTTGGACGGACAGGGAGAGACGTGCCGACTGGGTTGTTTTGGATCCAGACGCCCCTGATCAAGGGTGGGGGTCTTTACATCGTATCACTGGGATCGATGATACTCCGCATCACCCCAAAAGCGTGGCTCACCGAAGTCATTACGGATGGAAGACTCTGAGGGACGCCCGGAGTACCGGCTGTATCGGACACGAGCGAACTAAGTTTCCATTCACTTAAAATATGTGAGAGGGGGCATGTTCGACTGTGCGTCTCATGACAGGGTCGGATCCCTGAGGGGACGCCCGTGGGTCGGTAAGAAGGGAGTCAAAACCCACAGCGGAGACCGGACACAAGAATAAATTCGTTACCGTTGTATCGTTACCGCGTGGCGAACCCTAGGTGGCTGAAAGTAGCGGGGGTCAACGTGTGCCCTGCCATGAAAGCCCTGCCCCGAGATCGGAGGCTTGGCTGCCAGCTCCCCGTTGGCATTCAGTGCCCAAGGCTGCAGAGGAGGCCTGGTGCAATTAGCCTGAGCCTCTGCCTCACCCAAAATTAGTGGGAGAGCCACGGCTGGAAGAAACGGAAGAAACGTGTTTGAATGCAAACATGCTTTCAAGTTTCTTCCTGCTTGCCCACCAAGGGGACGCAGTGTAGACAGCTCGGTCCGTCTGCGTCTGATCTACCCGGCCTGCCAGGGACGCAATTGCCCCGACAGTCCTTCGACCAAAGCCCTCGAGGAAGGGTCCACAAAAAGGGACCTGCAACGGGCCCCATAGGAGGAAAGCCTCCAGGGGCACAGCCTCGCTGCAGTCGGTAAAAATCGGGTAAACCACCGCCTGAAAAAAACAGCCTGTGAGGATGCCCTCCAATCAGCAGGGGGGGGGGGGGGGATAACGAAATACAGTTGTAAAAGGTACATGTACCGCCGCGAAACCAACCAGCTACAATGTCAGATGCCGTGCAGCGTCAACAACCCAAGCTAGAAACCCGGACAGGAAAAAAAAAACAAGCAGCCTCTCGACTGAGATAGCACCGCTGTTAGCAATGCACATTTCAATTAAAGAACAGAAGATATTAGAAAATGAACAATATGTATAGTATCAAAACAATCAGACTTGCGGTTTTCAACAATAAGTTGAAAATATCACTTTTTACCAAAAATATTCACCAAATTTAGAGAATTGAAGATATCATCATGAAATGAACAAATCTAAGAGAGGTCTATCCAAGGTACATATACACCAAGTATCAAAGCATTCAGACTTTTAGTTTTCAAGAAGAAGTCGAAAATGTAAAACATCGACACAGACGACGACGGACAATCACTCATATGATAAGCTCCGCTCGACTAAGTAGGCGATCTAGCAGAGCTCGCTAGATTTCATCTCCACTCGAGGCGGAGAAAAAAATCAGAGTGATTGACGGCTACCTATGGCACTGCCATGTGGCCTCGGTCACGTTGGTTCGTGACGCAAGGGGGTAAAAGAATCTTGAGGTCATGGGGCTTCCCCTGACCTAGATTCTATCTCTCAGTCACCGGCAGAAACCCTGATTAATGCCTACAGTTCAAAATAGTCATTTTGACTGACCGGAGTCTATGGTTGGTAATTGAACGTAGTGAATTCACTCCTTCAGCGAAGTTTAATTCCAAGCAAAAATGAAATATTCTACAGTAAGTAGAAGAAGTGTAACTGACCACAGTGCAATTCATCTAATCCATCAGCGCAGTCGTCATCGCCATCACATACCCAACTAATTGGAAGACATCTTCCGTCAGATAAACAGGTGAAATCTTCACTGCTACACGTCGACACTAAACACAACAAATATTACAATAACACCATTGTCTTTTAAGTTGTCATGAATAACAATTATTCACCATAATAGATTGATAACCGGGTTTTAGCACAATTAATTAATTTATTATCGATGACAAGTCCTTGCACTATATGATGCATGTGCAAGTCTCAACATGATCAGTCCAGCCATGTTAGCAATATGGCTCCAAAAACACCATTTGTTAAAAACAAAATGGCCATCAGCCATTGTCAGAACATGACAATACCAGAATGTCAATTTTGAATCGGCATAAGCAAGAAATTACAAGTCCCTGTTTTCAAATGTACGTTTTCCTATGTGTCAAATGAGGAATAATTAAAATATGAAAATATACAACCAATACACACCCTATTTTTATTTTTAATGTTTGCAGAAACACTTTTATTCAGTCTTATCGGTATAATCCTGGGTTACATACACTCAGTTTTATTTGTTCATTATGATAATGTCTTACAAACAGGAAACTACCAGCACACACCACAATTTTAGGATTTTGTCACAAAATTGCAAACATGCATCATCGTATAATTTTTTTTTAAAGGACCAAAAACCTATAACAGACCATTCTACTTTAGCAAAGCACTTTAATCTTACCACATTCCTGCTCATCAGTTGCATCTCCACAATCGTCAGTTTGATCGCAATGCAGATCATGGGAAATGCACCGTCCATTTGTACATCTAAATTCATCATCTTGGCAATCTTTCATCTCTGTTGAGAAACAAATTATCATATTACAGACTTCAATCAACATCACTCAACAAGGTTTTGTATAGAGTAAGTTTACGTTTGAACGTCATTGTTAATTTTTGGCACTATCTACAATAACATTGTAGTATAGTCTGCTCCTCCAGACGTGAAAAGTTGATGAAAACTGGAAAACTTTTTGATCAAAAACTAAAAGTAATATCTGAAACTGACTGTATGGTTCAAAATTATGATATTTTATACATAATTTTACAAAATGTGAAAATATTGGCCCTGAACTTTAGGCGGGAAAAATATCTGGTACTCAAAGGATTGAATGTTTATCACTTTCTTGTCATTCCAAGAATATTATATACCGTAGTTATGGTAACCCAGCAAAGGATTATGGGTAAAGTACGACATGTTCACTGTTGTGAAAAAAATAGAAAACTCCTTCTATTATATGCTCTTTATATGCTAGCATTAACATACCACAGTCTTTTTCATCCTGTGCATCTTGGCAATCAGCCTCTCCATCACACACCCATGAAACGGGTATACAAAGTGTACTACATTGGAACTGTCCAGGTGAACAAGACTGAGCTAGAATACAGAATAAACAAACTATTATACCCTTGTGTTCGAAATAAGCAAGATTGAATTTTACATCAGTTAATCTGCAAAGATTATGAGGTTATTATGAGGATACTGCAAAGTATGCACGAAGACAGTATAGCGGGAGTATCAACTCGCACGCAGCAGAGGTCGAGGTGATCGCATACTGTCTCAGTGCATACTTTGCAGTATTTTCATAATAACCTTATTATACATCTTTTCCCCCCAGGAATGATTCATGGGAAAGCCGAAATTCAACCCTGGGGGCTGCCATGCCAATTAATTAACTCAATATTGCATAGCACATATCTTATATTGACAAATCAAGTCTTGACCAAGTTTGGTCTGATTTGGACTATTAGTTCACAAGATATTAACAAGAATTCAAATTAATAATTAAATATGCAAATGAGCTCATCAATCGATTCCTTGAAAAAATAAATCAATGCGCATCTGTACCAGTGGTCACTGTCTTTGTACCAAGTCTCGGTCCAGGCATTTCTGAGAAATGATGGACACAGGACTTTGCCATTCAAAATGGCCACCAGACAGCCATATTTTATCAAATCAGGAAATAAATCCATGTGAATATGTATACCTCCTCACTGTGTCTTTGTACCTAGTATCATTGAAATCAGTCAAGACATCTCTGAGAAATATCAATGGATAGACAAAAGCCATGATTAACAATCAAAATAGCTGCCAGTCTGCCTTATTTGATCATTTCAAAAAAGGAAAATAACATGAATCCGTATGGGTGGTCCCTTTGTATTTGTAACAAGTCACAACAAAATCGGTCAAGCCATCTCCGAGAAATGACGATGGACACACAAGGACGGAATCTGACTGAATTTTGGCATTAAAGATTGGCCGCCAGACGACCATATTTGATCGAATAGGGGAAAATAAATTGACGTGCACATTTATGGTTGACCACTTTGTCTTTGTACCAAGTTTCAAAAAAAATCGGTCCAGAGATAAATCACAACGGACGGACGGACTGACTGACGGACTGACTGACTGACTGACGAAGGCGAAACTACAAGCCCCCTCCAGGACTTTGTCCGGGTGGGGGCTAATAAAACGAGAAGCTGCCGCACGTTACAACACAGGTCAGAATCTCCGCTCGTTCGTCTCCTCGGCGTACCCAATTTACATACCGTTTACACTGTAATTTCATCTTACAAATAAATTCACGTTGACAATTTCAGTTTGTAAGCACGAAAGAGTAGCCGGCAATCCGGGCCGGCAATTCATCGAACAGCCGCCATTATAAGTAGTTCAAAGCGAGGCTAAGCTTTAGAAGTAAGCCTCGTCTTCAAGACATACACGACGAGTGGTGGCGATATTTTGCTCAATTGTTCAGATATTAAAGCAATCTTTTTCTCATTACGAGGTCCATGACTTTCAGAAAACATATTTTCAAAATCAAAGCTGCGCGAGTTAGAATTCGGTCCAGCACGCCCTTTATACATGGTTTTGAAGTCACGGGCGTGAAGGGCGAGTGACTTTAAAACCATGTATAAAAGGCGTGTCATTTTATAACGCATACGTAAAGTCGAATTTGATTTGTAATTTATGCAGCTCCTATTTATTTATTCAAATAATGATCCCCGGTTCTAAAGAGTTACATCAAATAAATAAATGAAATAAAAGTCAGTTGCTAAATCCGGAAAGAGCTGTCATCATCGCACTTAGCTTTCCCCATGGCATGTAGAACTTAAAATAAACAGCCATACCACCGCACCAGTCTGCGGTACAGCCACAGTTCTTTACGTTTCATGCAAGGGGATTGGCACGAGAGGGCGCCATCCGATCTGAATGAAACGTTTCGATGTCCGCCGTTCATAGTCCGTCGTTCTTAGCCCATCATCAAAGCAACAACGCCCCTTTTACGAACAGATGAAATGATTTCAGCAATTTCTTTACAGAATAATCCTAAACAAACTTAGCAACATTTCATAGAAAAATACAAGGTCTAAAATTATATCTATTGCAAAACAATTCAAACGAACGCCAGTTTGAAGTGATTTTATTGCTTTCGAAATTGTCCCATTTCAAACTGTGCATGCACACTGATTTCTCGAAATGCATACTAATTAGGTAACTTGTCACTGATAAAAGCCATTGAAAACATTTTGAGCATTTTTGAGCAATAGTGCATCTCGTGTATTCTCTATGAATTTCGTAATTTGCTATGAACAGGGTAAAGAATAAACCTGTGGTTACTTTCAACAGTTTGCTGGAGTCTGATCAAAAACGCGTCTCAAAAAAACGTCTTTACATCAGTTTTCGATTATTTTTTCAGCTCGTAACGATAGAATTTAAAACTGTCATGTATGTTATCGAAAAGCATTTTGGCACAATTTTACTGAAAATACGAGTTTTTCAATGCTCAAGAATGTTAATTTATACAAATGAGACGATTATTGCAACCAATCGTGTCATGCAACTCCCCCCTGGTTTCATGTTTTTTTGTGTTTTTTTTTTTTTTTTTGTACTAGTATTTTTTGGTTTTTCATTACCAATTTTAAAATTAAAAATCGAACGAACACATATATAACAAATATTAGTCATACAATTATTACCTTGGGTCGAAAATGCAAATTGGATGCAACACAA